GTCGCCGATGTTGCAAGTGATGGGCGACAGCTATATTCTACCACAGCTCATGTGTCCCAATTAAAATCTTGGAAGGTGATCCAAGAAGATGAAGATGAAGAGGTTGAGGATCAGAAGGATAAGACAGAGCGACCCGTGTTAGCTGACTCTACAACTCCTGAGACAACGAATGCTCACCCTGTTCGAAGACGCCGACTACCTGTCTACCTCAAGGATTATGACATTGCCGACCGAGGACGATTCGGAAATTCAGAAGAGGCCGAATGTTAGGACACTGTTGATCACACTGGCCAACTGAATAGTCGCGTCGTTCGCAGCGTTTTGTGCTCCCGTTTTAACTGCCCGTTTTTCTTAAGCGTTTTTGTTCTTAATTATTAAGTTTATTCTAATTTGTATTACTTTCTTAAATAAACTATTTTTATAATTGTTATATTGCCCATTTTCTAACACTTCTTAATATTATCAAGAATAGACAGAGAGAAAATATAGAACAAAATATATCGGAAGATAAGTTTGGTTTTAGGAAAAAAAGAACAAGAGGGGCGATTTTAGCTCTAAGATGTCTGCATTGAAAGAAGAATCACAATTCATTGAAATATTATTGCAAACATATTTCTTCTATAAAACATTCATAGAAGATTTATTAGGTGCCTACAGTGGCGTTATTTCAGTTTTTTCTAGAATAGGGCATGTTCTTATTAATTTAACGACTCAGGTGCTTATTTTACTAAAGTATCGATAAACGTGGAGAGAGGGGGAAGTAAAACTAGTGCGAAAATATAATGATTTGTATTTTGTATATGAGTACCCATACACCTATTTCTAATTTTTCTGATTTACAACACATCAATAGTTTTATAAAAGACATATTTATATTTTGAAGATGTGCCGACTTTGGAATAGCTAAATTCAAGAATGTGGTAAATATATGAGTTTCCCTTCATTCAAATGAGGTCACTGGACGCCTACACAGAGTTGTCGAGATGTTTTTTGGTATTACTAATGAAAACTTCAAAAACCTGAATAATTTTTAGTTTTAATTTATTGCATTTACTAACAACGAAATATATTCCGCATGTTATAAATTTACCAACTCATCCCGTTTTTTTCCATGAAACAAACATGTCTCGCTTGTGATTTATGCCGTTTCGAATGTTAATCTGAAAAATAGGAACGGATAAAAAAAATTAAAAAAACAATTGCCAATTATAATGGTATGCATTATCATATTATATGAGAAAGTATCTATATAGCATAATATATTATGCATGACTGAACGATATGTGAAGACCGAAGTTCGTAATGTGCATTAATAATAGATCTGGTATCTATAAATGATATAAAAGTGTTTTCCATACTAATTCGAACTATCTGAAAAAAATATCAAAATAACAAAAGTATAACCACGTAAAGGTTTATTTAATATTTATTAAAATCTTTTCCTAAAACAACCAATTGATTTTATATGCTACGTAAAAATAATATTGCCAAACATTTTTACTCTAAATTGAATGAAAAAAAAATAAAAATATAATCACATACGCATTACCTTTTTTTTAATCTAGATTCTATAAAAGGATAGCACACGATTTTGCACAATATTTTACCTTCGATTCCGCACTTCTTCATAATACAATTTTTTTTACTTAACCCAAATTTAACACGATTCTGCGTAAAAATTGTTGCGACACTGCCAGTTTTGAGGAAAAATAATTATAGTAATAATATTAAATAAAACAAATTATTAAAAATAAATTGTATCGAAAAATTTATTTCAATTCTGTCGTCAATAATATTGTAGTTTGGTTTTTAAGCATAAATATTAAATAGGTATATATACTCTATTGTTGAAGTAAAAATAAAATTAGTTAAATAATTAAAATAAGTATTAAATTAAAAATCACAAAAATAATAATAATAATGTGATTACAATATACAAGTACAAACGGGTATCGAACAGGTAACTGATGAGTTCAGATAAAACATATATGTATAGTATGGTATATAATATATAGTATATATTATTATCTGAATAGTTTAAAGTGTGTACATTGTATACACTGTAAATTATTCAAATAAGCTAATATTTGGGGAAAAACCAAAATAATGTTATAATATGAATTATATGTAATATTAATATCAACCATTTTTATTAGTTGGCGGATTTTCGGTATTTACCGTTTTATCGTTATTTACCGTAGATCGGTAATTATTATCAAAAGACAAAAATAATAAATATGACAATTTAATACATTATTTACACAGTTAGCCGCAAGGGCATATGGCGTATAATAAAAATATATTTAGAGGAGAGTCGATAGCGCAAAATGAATCAAACGTTTATTAAACGGCATTATATTTTATACTTTTATAGTATTTATTATGAACTTTTCACATAGACCGACTAAGGAATAAAAAACTACTATAAACAATGAGAGTGGGACACCAAACTCCATCAGCTCATCTTAAATTATATTATCTGATTATCATATGATAAATCACTGAAAACACAATTGAACACATAATGGGGGCTCCTATTCTTGGGAGCATAAATAATAATAAAATTATATATTCTCTCAAATCTCAATGATATTCCATCAATTTGTCGCTTAAAAACGGTATTAGAGTTATTTATTGTTTAAATGGCATTTACCGAGTGAGCAGTATATACAGAGCGAGCAGAATATACCGAGCAAGCGGTATATGCCGAGCGAGCGGTAATTACCGAACCATCAGTATTTATCGTCTACACGGTATTTATTGATATATGCCGACATACCGGTATACCGTTAAAAACCGATATGTAAATACATACCGAATACTGGTGACCAAATTTCACATACCGCCAACTCTAATTCTTATGTTTAAAATAATTTTAATAATACAACCGGCAACGTCGCAAATTAGTTTTGTGCTGAATTGTGAAAAATTTATATGTGGAATCGTGAATCGCCGCTATAAATAATACTTAACATACCATTAGCCGAATATATTTTATATTTTAAGTAAGTAATACATTCCATTTTTGTTCACTAATAACAAAGTTATATTACTATAATGGAATAAATAATTTAACAATGTCTACACCTAATACATGTAATAAGTTATTCTAAAATCATACTATAACTATTTATCATTAGAAATAAATATACTTATTTAAGGCTAATTTCAATATTTTAATTATGTCTAATAGTATAGTGATCAATAGTCATATCATTATTTTTCTATAGACATAAAATAACTAACATGCTGCTTATAATAGGTATACACACAGTTGGTATACATTTTTAATCATATAAATTTATCAATAAATCAAAAATATACTATGGTAACATAGTAACTTTTGCTAACGTCTCTATTAGTAGATACTTGTCAATCCTTTATAATAGTGATTTAATTATTTGTCATTGGGATGATTGCAAATTTAATTGGATTATATGTACGCACCATGAATCTGTACCAATCGAACATGCGATCCAATATAGGGCATAATCGAACCCTGTGGTTTTTTTTTCAACGCGCCTAAGGCCAACAATCATTATTGTAACCACTGAAATGCGACAAATACCACAAGAAACTTTGTCTCAACATTTTATTATACAATCACCAGGTAACAATATTGTACCTCGAGTCTTTGTTTTTAAAAAAAACTATTCAAATCATCCCATTCGTGTTGGGAAAAATTGAATTTATGTTTTCTTGACATGTTTGGATACTAACGTTACAGGTGGACTTGGGCGCAATTTAAGTTTTATTTTTGGGAGCTAATTTTTTTTTTTTGCATAACTTAAATAACTCTTAATTAACTTTAAATAACTCTTATTTTTCAAATTTTATCTAAACCTATAATGTGAAGATAAATAAATAAATATAAATATTAGATAAATATTTGGGAGGATTAAGTCCCCATCTAATTGCGACTATACAGGTGGATCATCCATTAACGCGTATATTACTGACTATTTACTTATAAATACAAAATGCATAGTGAAGGTTCTCTTCTGGATCAAGGGAGCTATTTACTCATTAATAGCTGCTACTACCTACTCAACCTGATATTTAGTTTACGACAAGCAATATTTTGCATTTAAACAAGCAATAAGATTTATTCACGGCTTGTAGATGTTAATGATTGGTACTATATGGGCCCTCTTCATGAGACCATTTTTTGTTAAATTATCAATAGCAGTACCTTTTAATTATGTTAGGTTTAAGTGAACGAAATTAAACTATTTTTTTATTTTATTTTTATTGACGATACATTGGTAAAGAGTACGTGTGATACTATTGTCTGTAAGTTACATGGCGTTTCTTCAAGTAAAAACCGCGTAGGTCTGATGTTATAGTAAACGTCTTGGTGTAAATTCAGTATAACGGTATTTAGTACTAATTTATCATTATTTTATAAAAATGTACACATCACATTATATTAAGTGTTTCAAACAAGTCTTGAATACAAAAACAGAAATTCCATCTAAAATATAATAAGATTTAATGGAACATAAAAAAATTTGAAATAAGGCGATTAGCAACCATTTGCCGCCGTCATGGCACAATGTTTAAAATAAAATAAGTTTAGAATGGCTTGCCAAAATCAAAATAAAAAAAGTAATTTTGGCATGGAACCAATAAAATGTGTTTTACAATTAAAAAAGCCGCTAACCATGTTTAAAAATGAGTATGATTATTTTGATCATGCAAAATGTTTTTATGAAAACAGTATCAAATTCACAGACATATTTGCAATTAAACATTTTTTAATTTCATGATTTTGAAGTATAGAATGTTCTGCAAAAATCCATTGTCTCAATTATAGAAACATTGATGAGTATTAACAGAAAATCCAAACAATAAATAATTGGTGTTTTAGATATATTTAAAAAATTATTTTTCATAAAACTTATCTAATAACAAAATAACTTACTACAGTAAAATTAAGTATTGGTTGCAAAAAAAAAAAAAAAAATAATAATAGTAAATATAAAGAAAAAAAATGCGTATATATAAAATATATGTGAGTAATGTAGTATGCATGATAAAAAATACATAAAGTACCTAGATTAGTAAATAAGAAAATCTATAGATAACAATTTAAACTGGTAGTTTTGTTTTCTACTTAACAAAATGTAATGAAAAAATCATTAATAGTATACAATAATAAAAATTTAGAAACAAAATTACAATACTAAATTCAAAATGTAAAAGCAGTTACTATTTCCGTTTTCCATTTGTATGAATGTAACTAACTTTGTTTGTTTTATGATCGTTAGCGCTCAGATCTTCATCTGGCCCTAAAAAATGTGTATACAATTTCTACATCTATTTCTTCATAATGTATAAATAATAAATAAGACCACGCAGACGAACACAATAATAGAATACGAGTAAAATAACAATAACTGAATAGTTCTGCACACAGTTTTGGCTAGTATGTTTCTGTAGCAAGTCATTTACCTTTCAAATAGTGGCAAAAATGTTTAGATTTGTCCCAATCTTCAACAAGTGATAAATTAAACATGGAATAAGCTGCGTTTCCTGTTACTTCAGCTTCAATGTCTAGGAACTTTGGTAAACGATCAAGCAATTCTTGGTCATCAAGAGCGGAATACGTCTCAAGTAATACTAATCCTTCACATCTAAAACACAAAATATTAATCATATAGTACTATTAAAAACATATATATCAAACAAAATATGTCTGATAGTTAATAACTTACCTTGAATGACAAGGTTTACAATAAATATCCAGATGGAAGTATTGATTATAGTGGATAAAGCACCTCCTTTTTTTGTAAATTGGATAATGGGTTTCATCCTTTTGTGTTAACAGATTCATATAATCCCTATGACTGAGCTGTGTTTTCACCTCAATCACTTGGCCACGAACCCTTGGTCTACGAATTGTATGGGTATAATTCCAATGACCTTTTAGAAAAACAAACAACAAATTAAGCATGTTATCATACAATCAAATATCATAAAAAAACCTTTTTGTCCTCGTTTTCGTAAGCGAGCTTGCATATTTGTGTTATATGTTTGCAAGTAATTGTGAACAACATCAAAATCTTGAAATGGAGGAAATAACTGATCATTAGGTAGATATTTCACTAACCATTTACGTTTTTTCGAATTAGTTGCTAATCGGTCACCAGTGTCTAGGCCCAATTTTTGACAAACTGCCTATTAAATGAAATTGAAAAAAACAAAAAAAATCATAATTTACACAAACATTAAAAATTGATTCATATTTACAGCAATCATTCTACATATTTTGGTTTCAAAATCAGATGAGTTATCAATGACATCAAAGTATGGATGCCCTATCCAAGCTGCTGACGCTTTAATGTCTAAACTCTTAGCCAGGGATACATCCTCTCCTCTGCATGCATGATCCTAAAATTGATATTCAATTAATGATTATAACACAAAGAAAACAATTATAACACTTTTACTTCAGTTGTATAAAAATCTTCAGCGCCACACGCAGCAGATACCATGTGTATTATTTGATTGTATCGATTGTCTCTCAAGTCAACCATATTCAAATTGTTTTCTTTCATTATCAGATCCCATTTATTACTAGGTATATCTAAAATTATAAGTGGTTAATTGTTCAACTATTTTATACAAATAATCATCAAATTATACAAGTGATAGGTACATTTATTTTTATAATGGGCTGTTCTAATAAGAAATTTTCTGTTCTAATTACTATTTAAAATTATTTAATATATCTAATTATATATAATGACAAAAAATAAATATGTGTATATATTTTATTATTCAATGTCACGCTTTGTTTGAATTTTAGTTTATACAATATGAACTTAATTATTATTAGTCAATAATCAAGTAAAATGAAACGGAAGTTGGCTGTGAAAAAGTAAACACAATTACAATAATTAATGTTTACATAATTATAGTATACAACATAATAACTTCACATACCACTATACCAGTCATCATTATTATCCATTTAATTACACAGTTTTAGATCATAATAAAAGTGAAATTAATTATATGGATCAAATAGAAAATATAAAGAAAAAAAACAATAAGGAAATATTATCAATACCTGTTAAATATGTATACAAGTAGACAATACAGGTACGCGCTTATAATTTATTTACACATCAATATTATCATCAATGACATGTGCATTTTCGAGTTGGCAAATTTAACACATATAGGACGTCTATGTATACATACCAATACATTTTACTTTTAAAAATTATTTATTTTATCAGTGAATTATTTTTTGTAGGATGGTTAAATAAAGTTTTATAACTAGGGTACCGATGGTAGTAGTCAAAAAATAGTAAAATTAATTGTATTATTGCACTAAAAAAATAACAAAAATTAAGCTTAAAAAATTAAAAATTATACTACAAAATAACGTTTTGTTATAATTCATAAGACTTAATTTATTTTACAAAATGTTTAAACTCTAAAAATATATTTAAAAACAATTTACGTTTAAAATTTTCAGTCTCTATTTGATGTGTTATTATACACCGGTTATATATATATATATCACCGTTCAGCACTGACTTTTGTTTTGCATTACTTACAAAAAAATACGGATTAATTGTATGTAAACACATTCTCATAAATTCAAAAATGTATATTTTTAAAACTGTGGAAAACTAAGCTTCATTATCAACATACTTACAAAAAAGTAAAAGAACACGATCACACGAAAATGACAAACTGACTGAAAAACAAATTGTCAAATAATCACGTTCCGCAAATTATCTTAAACGTGTTTAGTATAATCTTATCCATATGAATTGTAAATACGACTATCTGATAAGCCCTAAGGACACGACTGATACGATTATTTTAAAAATAATCAGACTATCGTGAAAACAATACATACACAATAAATAATTAAAACAAAACAGATCAATAAATCATAAACTTCAAAATTAAATCCATTTGATAATTGTATGGTAATTGAATGTAAAGTAGTTAAAATAGTTTAAAAATTCGTAAAGACAACAACATTGCAATTAAAATGAAAAAAAAAACAGAAAATTGCGAAAAAATTTACTTAACAATTTTAAATTTTAATTTATACTGACACGCAACGAATTTAAAACTTATTTAGCATTAAATTGAAACAGTAGAATAAAAGTTGCAAATACAACATCTGCACCCTATTGTTAACAAACTTATATAATCTTAGATTTGGTCCCTTTGGTTTTTATAAGGACTAAATATTTCACACAGTCTCACTGTGATATAATATTTTCATCTTTTTTTTTTTTTATAACAATTTATATTTGTAATACAGTAAAAATAACTTTTTTATATTACATGCGGCAGCATCCATAGCACCTCTGTCACAAATTATTAGACAGTTCTGTGAGCACGACTCGCCCAATTCAAAAAATGTATTCTCTATTTGAAGCATACATCTAAGAAGGTTTTCTTGGAATTTATGTGCTGTAAAAAAAAAAAAAAATGAGAATAATATATTAGGCTTCAAGCTAATAGTAACAGTGTCTAAGGACATTACATGTCTAAATATCATTTAGCTTGACCGTAAAGGCTTAATACGCCAGTAACCATATTTTCCATTTAACGAAACCATCACAATACTATTAAGATGATTTGTATGGGTTTGAAAATCAATGTTATTAAATAATAACCACAAATGTAACACGATAATACTTTAAAGGGATACATATATATGCACATTGCTATATGCAGGTAACGACTATTGAACCTTAGTAGATTACGACATCGTGGATTTGCGACCTACTGAGCTAGATTAAAATGCAACATAGGGATTGTTAAAGAATTCATGGTCGTCATATGAAAGGAGGTGTGTTAATAGCTGTATAAGAATAACAATTTAAAAACGGACGAAATACACGAGTATATGACATAAGCAATAGGTCGAAAATAAATAGAGCCGTGCACAGTGTGAAAATATGGTTATAACCGAATTTGACATTTAGCCAAGAAAAAAAAACACTTTGTTTATCCTCATGTAAAAGGATTCTCGTATAAATTGAAACTTCTTTATATCGTGACAATACAATTAAACTATCTTGTATACATATTTCGTAATGAATTACCTTGATCGTCGCTTAATTCTGAAAATTTGATACCTCCACTGCAATAAGAAAAACACATGTACATAATATTAAATGTATCTCATAAATAAATATTGACGTACAAGAACTCGAGGTTAAAATGTATTTAAAAATATTATCAGTATAACACTTTTGAGTTAAATCATAAATGCAAACAATATAAATTGTTCATTATGAAATGTAAGATATATAGAAAATAATTGATTTAAAATTGTATGTTCCTAGTTAATAACTTAAATAATCTAAGAATAATTTGAAATACATTCTTCGCTTTATTTGAAATAAAAAAAAAATATTATATTATATTATACCTTAGCAGAACGTTGGCGGTTTCTGGAACTCTGTAAACCTAAAATAAATGTTCAATAATTAAATGCTAACAATGAAAGTAACATTTTTTTAATTTACCTTCCATCCTAAATTTTCAAAAAATGTACATAATCTTGACTGTCCTGTTGTTTTGCCTCCACAAGGTCCTAGAGTAAATAAATTACTGAATTATTCAATAGTTTTAAGCCTTTTTATTATATAACAAACATATTTTTGGATATTTTTAATGAAATCTTCAATAACATATTATGTTGATAAAATGTCTATAAATCAATATGATAATAATAATATTACAAATCATAATATGAACAAGTGGGAAATTAAGTTATTATCAAAAATATTCTCATCTTTAACGGGGAATATTAATCAACATACATCTAAAAAACCTTCTATTATTTATATTAAAGAATATACCCTTGATTTATTAATTGCATTAACTATAAATAACCAAAAAAAAAAAAAAAAAACTTTCAAAATTAGCGAGTCTTTGAAATCCTTATTTGTGAAAATTTAAATTTTACTTGTTTTTACTTGTTCAAGAATGATATGGATTAATTATTTTTAAAATACTTATTAATATTAAATAATATTTATAAATTCCAAATGCTATATTATTAAAAACAAAAAGTCATTATTCAATATGTAAACATGTTCGTTGCTAAACATAATCATAACCATACAAATGTAACTATAAAAGTTTACTTAAAAGTTTTTGTAGAAGTATCGAACATAAAGAACCATTAACATTATTTTAGATACCTCTACGTTTTACAGTAGTTATTGTCATTTTTTTGTGTAGAAAAACTAAAACTTATAAAAATTAACGTAAGAAAACTTAAAATGTAGGCAGATGATTTATGATCATATTCGTGAGCTCATTAGTTAGAAGTTACAAGTATAATTTACATAAAATGACATTTAAGTGATAAATACGAAAATAATTAACAAATAAACGATCATAAAATATATTAAACAATAAGTATAAGAAAGTTAGTAAAGTAAACATGTAGTTATAGATATAAATAAATTATGAATTTTCGACCAATGTAATTTTGAAAGTATGAAATACAATTAATTAGTAATGATATTATATATTTTATAATTTTATACGTGGAATCATTTTTGAAAATTGAAATTTTGATTTGAACACAAAAGTTTTTTATTATTTTATGCACATTAGAAATATTTGAAAAGACTCAACTATGTTTCGTCTTTCAGAGCGCTTCCTGTCTAGATAGCGATACTTTCAGTAACCGAGTTCGAATTAGTCTCGGTCATGACGAACCCAAGTTTTAAATATTTCATTAAATGTTTTTAAACGCACTGAATTCAATACAGAAAAAAATGATTGGAATCATATTAAAACAGTTCACATAGATATTATTAGAAAAATGTGGGGCAGATGAAATATTATAACTATTGAATTTTTATTACAAAAAAAAAAAAAAAAATGAGGAGTAATAAACTAATAAACCAACTTTATTGTGAGTTACCTAATATATAAATACATACATTTATAACATATGTTTTTCGAAATAAAAGAGTATATGCGTATTACTAGTTAAAATGTAGAGAACTTCACATTTTTTTTAAAAAATTTGTGTAACACGCATTTGTTTATCAAATGTAAGTATCGAATATTTAATAGTTTGAAATTAAAATAATAATTAATGACATAAAGGTGTTAATTGCTATACAAATATTAATAATAAATTAAATATATAAACTAGCTCATATAACTTAATTACTGAAATTATATAGATAATATATAGGTATTGTCTTTGGTACTATTATTTAAGATAAAATAAAAATGTAATAACTTAAATTTTAAATTATAATGGCCCAATAGCATTGAAATATAAACAAGCTATTTTTTTTGAAATGCCAAAAGAAATTACTACCTGTTAAATTCTATGGAAAGATAAAAAATATGTAAAAAATTATTTTTATATTGATTCACTAATTAAAATGTTTAGCAGTTAATATTTACACTAATACAAAATAAATAACCATTAAAACTCTCAATACGATATTTTCGGAAGGTCACTTTATTACAATATTATATATTGATTGATAAAAAATAAACAATTAATTTGTTAAGAAAATAACTTAAAATTAAAATAAAATATTAACGTTATCGATAATACTAAAATTATATTTTTTTTTATTTTTTTTTGAACTCGAGGAAATTTGTTTATAAAAATGAAGAACCAATATACATAATGTTAAGCCCTTATTACAGTCCATCCCCTATTATGTTTTGCATAACGAAAAAATAATATTTATAATTTAAACGTAACATTAACACGTAAGATAACGTTAATCATTTAAGCGGATCAAAGTTTACTAAAATAAATAGTTTCGATTTTGATCTAGACAAGAATGCTAAGTACTTAATTAAAACATATAACAAAGTATCGAGATCATTTAAGAATTTGAAGATTTTTTTATAAATAAGACGAAGAGATGTTTATTATATTGCTGTGATTTTACAATTAATGTATTTTATTTCCTTAAGTATGCTTTGGAATAAACTAATAAGCGTGTATAATAATAATAGTAATAGGCTTAGACATACATACAAGGGAAGCACAGACAAAATATGATGTCTCTAACGTTTTTTGGTGCATAGTCATCAAATATTGAATAATGGGCCAATATTATATATTTCTATGAATAAGGACCATTATAATTTTTCTTTATATTAAAAAGAAATTTACAATCTGTACAATAACATAACAATAACTAAATATGATAGTATTATAAATAAAATTGACTTTAGTAACATTATTGGAGGTTATTAATTTAGGGAATTAATTTTTTTTTTAATAAAATAGATCACAGGACAGTTCCATTTTAGGCGTCATCTAGTTTTGGGTAATATTTGAGAGGTCATATTTTTTAAAAGTAAAATTGTGCGAGAGTCGAGTTTAGAATGGAATTATTTGTAATTATTTGGAATTATTTTTTTTAGTATATGATTGCTAGGTTCTTTAATGTCTGGAATGTTGTGATTTTTGTAAAGGGAAACATTGCTAGTGTACCACGATATGCCTGTAATAAGTTGGTGATGGTTTGTGTTGAATGGGTCTTAGAAGGTTTAACCAGTCACCAAATTTGAATTTTAGAAGACCATAATAGTTAAAAACAATTTATAAATAATTATATTTTTTTTTGTAAACTAGTTAAATATTTTATAATTATATAATTTACCAGTATAAAAAACTATATTCTAAATTTACAGAAAGAAATGATTTTACATAGTAATTATCATAAATTATTAACAAAACTAAAAAACTGGATTTTTAACGTATTATTATCATCTTGTGCACTGTACGCCATGCCGCGTCGTTGATCAGTCATAATATCAAAATAATAGCAATATTTTATGGTTTACATTATTATTTTTATTTATGGAACAAGAAATAATTTCTTCTGTAAGTATTGACAGTGTAATCAATGAATTTAAACATACAATACCTGTATATTAGTATTAAAAATTTACGAATAAGAATTCTGTTTGTTTAATTTATAACTCAAATTTTGTATTTGATTTTTTTTTTTTTTTAATATTTTCACCTACATATTCAGGAAAATATTTATTTAACAAAATATTTATTGTATAATACATATTAACCATAAGCTTGTGGAAAAGTACATCATTTTGTATTACATTTTATCCAAACAATGAATAACCAGTATAATTATAAATTTGGTTACTCTTAAGTTAAAAGTAAAATAATGGACCAGATTAACGATGAATTTGGAGAGTTAATCTCATGCTACTCCTGAAATAGGAGTCCAGGCACGCCTATGATAAAAACAGAAAACTATGCTACTATTAATGTTCCAGTTTGAATCAAAAAAAAATAATGAAAATCTTTTTAATTGTATTTGCTGAAAACATTTATGGATATAGTCAAAATATAGATAACCTATGTTAAGTAGGATTGTTTTTTTTAACTATAGAATATATTCCACATTAAAATTTTTATATAAATTTTTATATATAAAAATAATAATTTCCAATTTATTTTACAAGTTAAATGAGCTGTAAATTATAACAAATTAAATATTAAAAATACATTGAACTGATTGCGAGAAAACAAATCATGGGTGATACTTTGATAATTAATTTCGTATTCGTCAATTAAAACATATTATATATAAATATAAATAATATTTAAATAACTAAAAAATACATTTCATTTTTTGTATTAATAATTTTTTTAGAACGTACAATTTGTAAAATAAATGTTAACTTATGCGAATAATAGTCATTAATATCTACACCTATTTATAATGAAAAAATTTTAATTAGTGAACAATGTGATATCAATAGGTATAGATTTAATAACAACTAAAATGTTCTTTACTATGTCATGAATAGATAGATATATATATCACGTAAATATATACACACGTATAGTTGAATTATATATATAAAGATATATATATATATATATTTTTAATGTATCAGTCGTAGTTTAATAAACCTACTCTAGTCTCCATTAAGTTTATAAAGTTCAAAATGAAAACAAAGTTTATTTCACTGTGTGTTTGATATACACATTTCACAACAATTAAAATTATTAAAATAACTATATACACGTATTAAACATTAACTGTGAGCAAATAAAAACAAAACTTTCGGCTTAACTACAGTTCATTTTATATTGGATACACTGATTTAAAAAAAATCATGCTTAAAATATTATAATATTAACACAAAAATCAAATAAATTACAAATATTATTAAAATACTACATAAAGCTGTAACATAAAACAATAAGACATGTCATAATTATCCACTTAAATTATAAAAAAAAAAATAATACTGATAATATTTTTGTATCATTATAAATACACAATACAGAGCAACTAGATAGTTGAAAAATATTAAGATGAAATCGAATGAACATTCTTCATATAAATATAATATAAATATTTATTAACCCTTAAATTTACATGCTCATTAGTTTTTGATGAATTACTCCTGTATCGTGTGTAAACTACATACATGTTTTATAAACTTATGAAATACGTATAAATAAATACGTTTCAAGTCATACAATTTGAGACATTAAAAAACATAATTTAAACAAGAAGTTAAAAAGCTATATCTTGCACGTAGTCTCTCATATTG